TGTTATGCGCTGGACTATGTATGGATCGGGTGGCCCTGGTTCAACCTCATAAATGACTGTTCTGTGCTGAGCTTGTTTTGGGGAGTTCTTAACTCTCTCCACACATTTTGGTTCGGTCACATCGGTGGTGGACATGGAGGTCCATCCTCTTCAATAACCTGACCATGTTGAAATTGGCGTTGAAACTATACTATGACTGCGAAAGCTCATTTGTCTTTTTAAAACGACGTGGGGCTGTCAACCCATGATTTCTGTGAGTAAATGACCGATATTACAATTCTTACATTTCTCCGCTTGGAGCTTGTTCTGGTTGGTGTTTTGCTGAGTTTTTTTTCGGGAGGGGGTGGTTTTATTTGGGTTTGGGAAGTTTTGAGCGACCGGGGTCAGGGTCTTTAATACCGAACAAAACAAACATGGGAGTAAAGAAAAACAATCTGAACAGCAACAACAACAACAACGAATGAACAAACTACCCCCCACAAAAAACAACAACACCCAAACAAAACAAACAAAAACCCACAAAAAAAACAACAACCCCAAAAACAAACCAGAAGCAGAAACAAAGCATCTTGTATCGAGACGAGGTATTGCTTTCACTGAGATAAAGCCAAAGACATTATCATAAATCAAAGTATCGCACACAGGGTAACGTTTTAGCATACAAAAAGAGATAACTACATGACGATTCAACACAATGTTATTTGAGATGCGGTACGAAAAAAGCATCCTCCAAAATTTTTGTTGCGACATCATGAAGACACATCTTGTTCTCATTTTAGGGAGTAACATTTCTTGAATGTAAAAAGTATAAGCAAATGATGTTTTAAAGAACGTCTTATATTACAAAACCTAAAAAAAAAATTCTTATTGGCACCAGAGAGGATTTTATTATACATTTGCGTGCAGTAAGCCATCCTATAGTTTTCCATCTTTGTAGTAAGTAACGTTTTCATTTAATTAACTTGTGTCTTGATCTCCACCCTACAGTATCCCAAAACATTTCACACATTAAGCGAAACTGTAGGTTATACATTAAAAAACGGATTTTCTTTATGTGTGTGTGTG